CTTCTCACTTAGGATCTGTTTTCTCACTTTAGAATTCCCATAATGCAAAGGGACTTTTTCCAGCTTCCTGAATTACATAGAGAATGATTTTGAATGTTCATCCCTGTGCTTTTCTGTGCTTAAACACCAATGTCATCGCTATATCCTACAGCGGGGGGTTCTATCCCAGCATCCATCACTGAGCAGTAGCTGGAATCTGCGAGAGCACTGATCTCGCAGCAAGACTCCTCCAGCTTATCCACTCTCACTTAGAACCGCTTCCCCAGGCACCCCACCTGCGCCATAAGGAAGCCAGCCTTACCTGTTCTTAGCACAGACTCGGTGCTGGCATCGGGGAGCTTTCATTCACCACACCTGCACCAACGCAACTGACTGGCTTTCAGACAAACCATGAGGTACAGCTATTTCTGAAATGCAGTCACTGGATAAATGCAATTCCAGTGTGTCATTATTACTCCATCGAGGGGAGTCACGGGCTTGAGTAGGACTCCTAGTTACCCACCTTCTTACTACTGCCAGGGGGGCGGGGAAACATTCCTTCTAAAGTGGTGGGTCCTCGAATCCTTTATCTCTTTCTACACAGAATTCCCAGGCCTTATAAGATTGCCCCACTCGACCCTTTGAGCTCCACAAACTCTGGTTGAGCCCCTCTGACCAGACTGCCACTGTGCTCCTGCATGATCTGCAAGTAGGGGACACAGAAAGGGGCCCTGCAGGGGCTATGTCCCCATGTGAACAGGCTGGGAGGGTGGGTCTCTGCAGATGCCTGAGCATCAGAACCAGGGTTTTGTCTTCCAGGGTTATCTGTCTGAAGGCTTGGTAACAAAGTGGTACCGCTCACCGCGCCTGCTCCTCTCCCCTAACAACTATACCAAAGCCATCGACATGTGGGCCGCTGGATGCATCCTGGCGGAGATGCTCACGGGGAGGATGCTCTTCGCAGGTGAGCTGCCGTCCGTGCCTCCTCCTGCACGCTAACCATGAGGCACGCTCGTCTTTCTCTTTGAACTTACTTCTGTGGCTTTCACAGCACGGCTTGGAAGCATTTTATTATCATCTCTTGAAAAATCCTGGAGCAGTTAAGAGTAGCCTTTGAGCACGGAACCCGCAAGCAAGGCGCCCCTTGCATTCAGACACAGTCATGGTTGGGAACACCCAGCCCACAATTCCAGCCTCTTCCTTTGCTCTCTCTGCCACTG